TACAATTAATTTGATAACCTTATTAGACCAAGACTCGAAGACTATTTGAAGAGGGATGTTATAGGAATGACATGTTGAAGATCTCAGGTTCCAAGCTATTCCATTACCAAGCCATAATCTGAGCATCTTCTTTCTCCCAAGCCTCAATAATCTTTTTATCAGTGGTGGATTGGTTGATCCAAGATATGACAGTTTTCCTTGAGCCCGTAAGAATACCTCTATGGCTTGAGACCATTGAAGGTAGTTCGAGCCTCTCAGTTTGGTGCTTGTGATTAACCCTGAGAGTTCTTGGTATCTGATGCAGTGCAAATGGAAGAGGACTTTCTTCAAACAGTTAAAGATCCTCATAAGACTCTCAGAAGACTAGGCTGAGTTTCCATTAATTGGGGCAGCTGATGATGTGATCGCATTGTGTGATTGTTTCTTGGTCTAGAGTCATTTATATAAGCCTTAAGTCTGTCTTTATTTCATGTTTAGGATACTATTGTCATTTTGGTTTTTATTTTATAAGTCATGTGCCTTTTTAAATGAGTCCTGTGACCACTTAAGGACTGTTTCGTCATTTTAGCGTCTTTATTTTGCTCAATAGAATTCTAGCGGTTAGATTATATTTATATGAAGGACTAGGATTAATTCCTTGCTAGGGCATCCCTTGTGTCTTATAAAAGGGTTGTATTCAACAGCTTTTTAAGTATTATCAATAAATTCTAGCCTGCTAATGCAGCTTTTTACCTCTCCCTTTCTTTTGGGATCGAGTGTGGGTATTTAAGCTATTCGTTAGCTTGAATATGGTTTTCCTTCTTCAGATTTCTTTTCTTTCTTTCATAGCTGATTGCATTAGTTTGCATCAGAGCAAGTTCTGGTCCAGTGGTTTTGTGTTGGGATATTAGATATCTCTCTTTGGTTTTGCAACATGCCACCAAGGAGAAGAAATCCACTTCGCAGACCAGCCATTTGGCCTCATCAGGACGCAGCTATTGATCAACGACAAGTGCTTGCCATGATAGAAGATCTAAGAAGCCAGATTGAAGCTTTAACCCTGCGCGTAGCGCAAACCCCAGGCCCTTCTCAAGATGGCGTCGAATCTGAGGAGGAGGACAATCTGGAAGAGGATTTAGTTAATCCTTTTTCCGGCGACGTAGCATAGACCAGCACCTCTTCCATTTGAAGAAAGGCACTGGGATGGTATCTTTAAGGTGAAAATTTCAGAATTTGTCGGTGGAGAAGAAGAGGAACCTATTTATGATAACGATGATGAGTCCAATGAGAACACTTTCGTCAATCATGAGAAGCCACGGTTAGAAAGTTTCTGTCACGATTCCGAGAATGATTCAACAGATGATGAGTCATGGTTGTTCATAACATCGACTACCATAGAACCATTTATTGACTTGATTAAGCCTCCAATTTTTTATGAAGAACCACACATTGAATCTATGGATTGGGATCAATTAGCGATCGAAGAAACTCAAAATGAAGGAAGCTATGATATCGTGGCGCTAACAAGAGCAATGGAGAACAATGAAGTGTTTAACTTTTCACCCGCGGAAGTTTTGCAAGAATACAAATCTGATCATTGTTTGGTGTTTTAGGATTCGAGCACTAAAAAATGGATATCACTTTTATGATATGATTTGGAGTAAATTCTTGGAACTCACTACAATTGTAAAGCGGTTGGTGGAAGAAAAATTTAAGTTATTAAACTTCTAGTTCAGGATACGTGTTCCACTGAGTTTTGCGAATCTAGCAAAATCAATGTAATCTTTTTGTTAGTACAAGAAGATTATTGTATTTGATTCGAGTTCGGAAAAGAAGGAGGAGGGGATGGAACACCATGCTCAGATTTTTGATTGGTTGTGGAAATTTGCTTCTAACTTGTGGACGAGTTTACTCTCACCTAGAGGGACTGATGGAAGATGACTTTCTTCAAACAGTTAAAGATCCTCAGAAGACTAGGCTGAGTTTCCATTAATAGGGGCAGCTGATGATGTGATCAGATTGTGTGATTGTTTATTGGCCTAGAGTCATTTATATAAGTCTTAAGTTTGTCTTTATTTCATGTTTAGGATACTATTGTCATTTTGGCTTTTATTTTATAAGTTTTGTGCCTTTTTAAGTGAGTCATGTGACCACTTAAGGATTGTTTTGTCATTTTAGCGTCTTTATTTTGCTGGATAGAATTCTGGCTGTTAGATTATATTTATATGAAGGGCTAGGATTAATTCCTTGCTAGGGCATCCCTTGTGTCTTATAAAAGGGTTGTTCCAAGTTGAATTTAGGAGCTTTTTGACGTATTATCAATACTTTCGGTCTGCTGTAGCAGCCTTTTACCTCTCCCTTTCTTTGGGATTGAGTTTTGGGTGTTTAAGCTATTTTTTCTAGCTTGAATTAGCTCTCTGTTTTTCCTTCTTCAGATTTATTTCTTTTCTTTCAGAGCTGATTGCATTAGTATCCATAGGGGGGCTGCCGAATGCGAGAGAGAGAGAGGAGTGAGAGGGAGCCGAGATGAGAGAACCAAGATCTAGCCGTGATGAACCGAGAGAGATTGCTGAGGAGAGTTCCAAGAGAGGTTGCCGAGACGAGAATTGAGATCATGGAGGAGAGATCTCTAAGAGAAAGCCGAGATGGAATCGAGAGTCTGAATAAAACTGAAAAAAAAAAAAAAAAATTAAAGAGGGATCCATTTTTGCTCTGATACCATGTTGAAAGAGAGAGCATGTATATGGAAACGTATATTTTATTGAGTGAATAATACAATAATACAATGGGGTTTATATAGGAGAAGCTACAGGAATAGGTGAGTGGAGAATACAGAAAACCCTAGTATACAATGTAATCTAACGGTACACTGTGACAGCTTATACTATACTGTACAACACTTGCAATATAAAAACAGATTTGAAAAATATAAAATTTAGTTAATATTGCAAATCTATATTGGTGGGATTATGGACGGGTTTTAATCATTTGATTTTATTCAAATATAATATTTACTTATTACACAATTTTGGATCATTCATTTTAGAACCAAATATAGAGACCATTATAATTTATAAGAATGAACAAACTGCAATATTCCATGGAAAACACATTATAAAGGAGATGATGGGCACCACTAATTGCTCTGCACTTTCTTTCTTTTTGTGATTTGCCTGAGATGATGTCAAGTTTAGGGTTGATTTCTAAAAGAGAAATTTCAGCATATCCTTCCACTCTCCTCTTCTTATTTTGGGCATTTCTCTTTCTTCTTTCTATAATCTTCTTTTACTGAAATCTCTGTTTTTTTTTTTTTTAAGAATGAACAAACTGCAATATTCCATGGAAAACACATTGTAAAGGAGATGGGCACCACGAATTGCTCTGCACTTCTTCTTCTTTTTTTTGTGCTTTGCCTGGGACAATGTTGAGTATAGGGTTGATTTCTAAAAGAGAAATTTCAGCATAACCTTCCACTCTTCTTATTTGGGAATTTTTCTCTTTTTTCTTTCTATAATCATCTTCTACTGAAATCTCTGTTACTTTATGAGCTTTCTTGCTTTCAATCATTTAGAACTTTTTACTTTTGATAATTTTTTATGTTAAAACAATACATGTTTCAGTTGAAACAAAGTTGTATATCATCTGATGAAAGAAACTATTTTGTTTCAGTGGAAACACACGATTTTTATAGTCCAAACATGCATTGATCTTGATAGGATTAAAAAGGGATACACATTGCCTCTTTCAGCAGAAAATAATGGAAATTTTATTCCCTAGACAAGAATAACGCCATATTTGAGAAGTAGGCTGACCAACCACAGGATAGATATTTCCTGCCGCTTGGCCAGGGATTGTTGGGATTTGATGCTTGGATTATTTGGGGTCCATTGGGTTATGCCTTGTTCCTCTAGAGGGTTGATTGAGGCTTGGAGAGGTGTCTCTGTTGGGGCTCCCATTCAGAGTGCTTGGAGGGTTACGCCTCTTTGTATTTGGTGGTGCATTTGGCTAGAGAGAAATAGCAGATATTTTGATGGAAAGAAGAAACCTATTTCTATGCTAAAGTTCTCTATTATTTCCAGTCTTTTTTGTTGGGTCTCAGGAAGAGATTATAGATCTACAGGGGAGATTATTGTTTTTTTGGCCTCTTTGAAGGTCTAAGGCGCCCTTTGGCCCTTGTGTTTCTTTGGGTTCCGCTCCCCTTTTGAGCGTTTTCAATAAAATCTTACTTATCAAAAAAAAAAAAAAAAAAAAAAGATATTTCCTGCCACTTGTTGAGGTGCAGAATTTCAAGTCCAGTTGGAATGTGGTTGTGTGCGATGTACTTTTTAATTATAATAAACAATAAATAAACAAATAGGTTCCAGGCGGAAGCTGATTTTGCATTTAACCTCTTTTGATATATTAAATTATGTTTAGATATTGTTGGTTATAATATTTAATGCATATCAACTCTTGTTTCCTTACATTCGCTGGAAAATTTTCTAGAATTTGGCTACTAATTTGTTGCTTCTGAAAAATCAATTTATTTCTCTAGAAAAACCACCCCATTTCCCCTTGAAAAGATAAAATGAAATATAGCAAAAGTTAAGAATTAAGGAAGAATAAAACTGAAAGTAAAAAAGACAAACTTGTGCTTGTCATTGCACTAGTTGCTAAAGCATTGGTGTTTTCTACATATTGTGCAAAAGATTAGTTGTAAATGTGTAGTTGTATCTAAAAAAATCTTAGGAATGGCCTAAATGGCTCATCATATTTTATGATGAAAACTGAGAAATATTATTGCCTTCTGGGATTGATATGATTGTCTCGTGACCAATTGTATGAGTAATCCACCAATTATTTTACTCTTCATTTTCAAAGAGTATGAATCTGAAATAATACTTGACAATGTCTAAAGGAATCTTAATTTACAAGCCAAAGTTCAGAAGTTCAAGCCATATGATATGTTTGCATCTCTTATACGGATATGCTGTTTGCTGTTTGCACTCATGCTCTATTGTTGCTGTTTTGTCTGTTGACAGGGTAGATTTCTTCTCGCCGCTGTTAGTGGCCGTGTTTTAGCCCGTTCATTCCATTCAGTTCTTCATGTCGGCCATGAAATGATTGAACAAGCACTTGGTACGGGAAATGTGCATATTCCAGAAAGTCAACCTGAAATGACGTGGAACCGCATGGAAGTTTCTGTCATGTTAGAGCATGTGCAAGCCCATGTTGCACCAACTGATGTTGATCCAGGGGCTGGACTTCAGTGGCTTCCAAAAATTCGTAGGAGCTCTCCAAAAGTAAAACGCACTGGTGCTTTACTTGAAAGAGTGTTTATGCCTTGCGATATGTTTTTCCGCTACACGAGGCACAAAGGTGGAACTGCAGATTTGAAGGTGGATACGGTTTTCTTCAGTTTGTCACTAGATTTTGTTAAATAATCAAAATATATTCCCAGCTATTACTAATTTACTACAGACTAAAGTTTTTGTCTTTATGTTTGTCTATGGTAAGTCAGAATGTTGGTTAGCATGTACTTTTACTTAACAGGATTCTCAGTTGAAGTTTATTCTGATACAGGTGAAGCCCTTGAAAGAGCTCGCTTTCAATTCTCATAATATAACGGCAACAATGACGTCGCGTCAATTTCAAGTTATGCTAGATGTGTTGACCAATCTTCTCTTTGCTCGGCTTCCCAAGTAACTAAATTTTGTGTTGTTATTTCATTTGATCTCCCTTCTTTTGCACTATTACCTATAGTTGTAATTAGTCTTGTATTTCTTGGCGTATCAGTATAATTAGTTTGGTAGCTTATGTTATTCTTTTTTAATATTATTATTTTTTCTAGTCAAGACATTAAATTGCAGAGTATAATTGATGTAAACTTTTTCTTCCACTCTTCAAAGTGATTTGAATAAGTTTTTGATTCAGGCCTCGAAAAAATAGTCTTTCATATCCTGATGAAGATGATGAAGATGTAGAAGAGGAGGCAGATGAGGTGGTTCCTATCGGTGTTGAAGAAGTAGAACTTGCAAGAGTCAATCTTGAACAGAAAGAGCGGGAGCAGAAGTTGATTCTTGATGACATCAGGAAATTATCTCTCAGTGCTGATACTTCTGGAGACCTACATCCAGAAAAGGAAGGCGATCTATGGATTATATCTGGTGGAAGATCTACATTGGTGAGAGATGAACCTTGTGAAGTACTTCAAAATTGGAAGCCATAATTTGTGTTGGTGGTGCTAGTTTGTTGTTAGATTTTACTAGTTCTATGTGGATATAAATATTAATTTTGATCCACAAGCTGGTGGCAGTGTCGCTTTTCGTGAAAAAAATACCAATTGATGTGGAGGGTTTCTTCAAACATCAAGGGGCTGGGTAGTCATTATCTGTTTTCAGCTACTTTTCGTATAGAGAAAAATGGCTAACTGGTTTATTATTTGCATAGAAGCATTTCCTAAAATGTAATGTGGTTCTACTGTCTTTGCTTATTTGCTTAAATCGCGTAATTTGATTGAAATATATATTTCATTTGAAATGTCTGCACAGATTCTCTCTACTTCTTGTAGATTATATACATGCTACCTTATGTGAATTTTTCCCCCTTATGTTGAGCTTAACCTTATTATGTACTGCTGTAGCGTAAGTAGCATGTCATCTGAACTTCTAAATAGATTGGATTGATTTTGATGATGATTTATAGTCTGTGAATATACCCTAGTTCTGTTCTCAATTTGTCTGTAGACTCTTCATCTAATATTCTTACAATTGGCTGCCTTTACTGGTGTGTATCTAGTCCTTGCTGTTTCATGCAACCCTGTCATCTACTCTAATCTTTCTTTTAAACTGGTCCTAAATTCTGTAATTCTGCTTTAGTGATATGTGATGAAACTTCGAGAGGCCAGCACCCTCTGTAAATGTTATCCAAATTTACTTTTTGTTACTTAACACTTTCATGTTCCTCTGCTTTCTCAGTATCGGTTTCCATTAATTTCTGCTGAATTTACATTTTTGTCACACAACTTTCATGTTCCTCCACTCTTACTATTACTTTCCAATATTATCCCTATTCTATGTTTGAGATAAGTTTAGCATTTTCTAGCTCTAATCTTTTTATTGGGCTACATTGCTCCAATGCACTTTACCAAAGATTATTGAAGTAACCTTGGCACTGGAGTATTCATATCGGAGCTCTTCGTTCTCCCCTCCTTTCTCCAGAGGGTGGGTGGGGATGTTATTATGAAACCATTAGTTATGGGTTACTAATCCAAATCTTTTCTTGACAATGCATTATAAGGATTTGCCTCAAAGTTTTGGAATTTTTGTGTGCACTAGTTTCTTAATCTCAAATTTCTCCCTCTTGTTTATTGGTTCTCATCTTATTGAAATGTCATCAAATCTGTAGAATTTGAGGTTAATTGTGATATCAGGTATATTTTATATATTTATGTATATGCAAGTTTACAAGATGTATTTATCCATTCCTGTTTGTGTGTTTATTCTTAGTTCTTCTTATATATTTATATAACAATGTTGCAAACTTCACCTCCTCAGGTGCAAAGACTAAAGAAAGAGCTTGGAAATGCAAAAAAGTTGAGGAAGGTTGCATCTGCTTCATTAAGGATGGCTCTGCAAAATGCTGCACAGCTACGACTAATGGAAAAAGAGAAGAACAAAAGCCCATCCTATGCTATGCGTATTTCATTGAAAATAAACAAAGTGGTATGGGGCATGCTTGTGGATGGTAAATCTTTTGCTGAAGCTGAGATAAATGACATGGTGAGTGTTCGAATTAAGAGTGTCTTTATTTTAACTGCAGTTGCATATGGATATTTGTCAGTTTTATTTCTTACATTATTCAATTTGGTGCTTTTTCGTTTGTTGACGAATCAATTTCATTTCATACTTCTACGTTTTCCTTCCTTTTAATTCACATTCTATAACTGTATCAAACTGCTGATGGTCAGTAGTTATGTGTTCTCTTTCAAATTTTAAGAAGTAAACTTCCTTATAGTTGAATGCAGAAATTGTTTACTTCTGCAGTTCCCTTATTTTGATATTAGAGTGTAGTTTGATTCTTTAATGTCCTTGATTTTATTCAGAAACTTGAACTTGTTGGATGGTTATAGACTATAGTTCTTTCTCTTGATTTTGAATGTTGTGATATTCTTTCCTTTCATTTTGGGAGTTGTTGCTTTCACAGAAGTATTTCTGATACATTTCTTTTCTCCCACACAGATATATGATTTTGATCGGGATTACAAAGATGTTGGTGTTGCTAGGTTCACAACAAAATCTTTTGTTGTCAGAAATTGCCTGCCTAATGCCAAATCTGATATGCTTCTATCAGCATGGAATCCCCCTCCTGAATGGGGAAAGTATGCACTTTTTTCAGTCCACTTTCCGCTTAGCATTACCTGATGGTTGCTTTTGTAGTAGCAAGTCATTGCACCTGTAAATGAGATGTGTCTTCTTTCTAGTTTCTACCTTCTTGATTTTTAGTTTTGATATGTTCTTCGTGGTTCTTTTAATAGTATTTTTCATGCTGCAGCTGATCTCCAGTCATGATTATGCAAAAACTTCTGCTTAACTGTGGTCTTATAGTTTTCTGCTAAACTCCCTCCCCCCCTCTCTCTCTCCCCCTCTCTCCCCCCTAGCTATTAAACTGATACAGACTTACTGATCAATACACCCTGGATGTCTTTTTTTTTTTTTGCATTGTATAATGTCAGTGTGTTGGCTTGTCCTCAAATTCTTTAATGTCTTTACCTTGTTCTTGGTTTAGTTGAACGTGATTCTAGCTTCAGTATCCAGCCACCTGAATCTAATGTGACATAACTAGCATTGAATGCTATGCTACTGTTGTCTAAATTTTTTGCCAATAGTTGTCCCTCACTCCAACAAATTCTGTTTCAGTATGAGAAAGGAGATCAAGGATTTCTGAGTGTTCCCCATGTTTTTTTTTGGTTCAAGACTTTCAATTTTTCTTTTGTGTATTAGTTTTGCTAAAACTCCTGCCTTTTGTAATTACCTGCAAACTCTTATTTATGCATATTTCTCTGGTCATCTGGCTCAATTTGACTTGATAAAATTCTAAACAAAGAACTAAAGAATGTTAAAGTACTAAATTGGCTTACAATTTTTTTCTTTTTTCTGAATATCCCACTTTGTCATCAGATGTTGCTTCATCTTCAACGAAAACCATGTTGAGTTAGAATTTGTCCCTAGTAGTGACTCATTACCTATGAGTTGTTTGTGAAATTGTTTCTACTTTTTGTGACTACTTGTTATCATCTTATTTTCATCAATCTTAACTGGCATATACAAATCCTAGTATGTGCCTTGAATAATGATAGTGATGTGGTATGGATGGATTTTGTCGTTACTATTTATGTTCGGTCAACAGGTGCAAACTATCCCTAACAAAAAATAGCTTGTGGGTCACTCTTGTCATAATTGCAATTTCTTACCATGTTGAATACTAATCTGGAAAGTTAAACTTTTTGAAAGTGTCATCGCCATCATCATCTGTGCCTTTATTCCATATGAATGAGTTCGGGTACATAAATTCTCTTTTTTCATTCTTTTCTATTACAAGCCATGTATCCTATTATATTTAATTTTTTACAAAGTTTTATTTCTTCATCCCATGTTAGTTTTGACTGGTCTCTTTGTCTCTTACCTTCTATGCAGACAAGTCTTCCTCTTCTTATTAGTGCATGTATGTGTCTTTGTTGTATATGTCCATATTAAATAAGTCTGCTTTCTCTCATTATATTACCAGGTAAATCTCCTAGTTTTTCCCTCATGTTAGTTATTAGTCCTATCTCTTCTAGTCACTTTTATAATCGATATCAACATTCTCATTTCAGCTACATGTTTGCGGAGCACCGGCATTCTACTCCATTTATTTTAGATAGCGTAATAACTGTCCTGTAAAAATTTTCTTTTAACTTTACTGATATTTGCTTATTACATAGCATACTATTCTGTCTCCATTTTGTTCAACATGTCGTCGACAAACAACATGCACCATAGAATGTTTGCTTGTATAGCATTTGTTAATTCATCTAAACCTTTTGCAAATAATATCTCCGTATATATAGTTCAGACTCTAGTCTTTGTCTCGCTATATATAACCTGAATAAGATTTATAAGTTTTAAAGGGGCCTTTTTCTTTCTACACTCCATCAAATTACATCCTTGGAATTCTATTATATTTTTTGTGAAAGTATATGGAGGTGTAAACATATTAAAGCTTTTTGTCACGTATAGAATTTCTATGGTTGTTTTTCATTCACTGGATCTAGATACGCATATGTGTGTGTGTGTATTCATGTAAGTAAAATGTGCAGCAGTGTTCCAATCTCTAATTTTTGTGTTTGGTGTTGAACATTCTGTCCCATAGGCATCTGTTTTTGTATCCTCTGATTTCAGATTCCACTTAACTGAATTACTGGAACTTCCTGCATTGGCAAAAAGGAGAAAGAAAATGAGTAATTTTGTCCATCTGAAAAAAAAAAAAAAAAAAAAATACAGCTTTTGTTTTCTTTTTGTGTCTGTATATAGCACTAAGGCTGCCATACTCAAGTAGTAACAGCAGAAAGTGATATACATATATCTTCTGAATTAAACGGATTCAGTAGCTTTGCATACCTGTCACACGTGATGAATCACTTTTCTTTTGACTAGGATTGCTTCTTGTAATGTGTTCCTTATGGTAGTGGAGAGGCTGCAATTTCCCCATTTTGCACGCTTACTAAATAGACATGTACATCTAACATCTTTACATGAATTGTAATGTGCACATGTAGAAGCCTGTAAAATGATATTTATCATTAAATAAGAAAGAAAAGAAAAGAATTGAAGAAGTGTGTAAACTTATAATTTTTATTTTTCCTGCATAAAAAGAAAGACAAAATTCATGTGTTCTTCACTTCTTGAAGTAAATAAAGATGGATTCCTACAATTGTACAAACACGTGTCACACATGTAGACACCTATATGATACAAATATGATACATGTGCCCTGCATAACGTAATTTTTCCGAAATTGTATCCTGTATGCTTATACTTTCTCATGAATGTTGGTTGATGAATTTGAAATTTAGTAATATACAAAAACCTTACGTATTTTTCTTCCTGGAAGTTACAATATTTACTTCTCTGGTTGCAGGAAACTAATGCTTCGTGTAGATGCAAAGCAGGGAGCTCCGAAGGATGGAAACTCTCCTCTTGAACTCTTCCAGGTAATCAATTTTCTTCTTAACGAGTGACACAACTAACCTTTGTAATACAAAATGGAAGGCCAATGATTATAAATTGCCCTTCTCGTAAACAATGGTTATAAGGGTCACAATATGAGGATACATAACAGGAAAATTATCAGGTCATTACCTGTTGGGTTATGCAGTCCTTTCTGCTGAAGAATTCGTCTTATCAAGAGAAAATGAGAACTTCAGATCAAAACTTGATGAGTGAAACCTGCTGATGTAAAAATGGGGGTGGGTGGGGGGAAAGAAGAGGTTTTTTTTTTTTTTTTTTTTTTTTTCTAATCTCTAAACATGTTATGTCCTGATAATTCTCCTATCACCTTAATCCATTATATTGTTGGAGTATGGTATCTATTCCAGACCTCTATTATAAGTAACAAAGAAATGGAATTGCTTTTGCTGCATAAATATTTTTTTTTTGCGTAAATGTGTGTGTGTAATAATATATATATACATTATAAATGCTTTTGCTGCATATATGACACTGGTTCGCCTAAGACCCTGGCATGACACTGTAAATTGCATGTTGGATTGGAGAAGAATACACCACTGGATGAAAAATAATTATTAGTTTCTCAATTTATCTATCCTGGAATCAGGTTGGTTTCATTTAAGTGATTGATTACTGGGAAATATAGTTGGTATCAGTTAGTTGGGGGTTGACTCTGTTTTTGCAGCCTCTTTAACGAACGCTTCTTCTATCGACTTTTTCTAATGTCTAATCTCTTCTAATAGTTCACAAAATCCCAAATTCTTAATAGTTTTTCTAATGTTATATTCACTTCGATGATCCCTTCTAATAGTTTTCCTCTGAGAATATGGATCCTAAGTGTGTTCGAACTAATGATAAGCAATTTAAGACAGTGGAAAAACAAAACTAACCAACCCCAGTATTGGGAGAACTTTGTTGGGTTGAGTTTAAGAACCTTGTTTCATTGTCTTTTTTTTTTTTTTTCCCTTTCAGTACCATTTTGCAGCTCTCTCTTTCTCTCTCTCTCATGACACCGAACAAGCATGCGCAGCCAAACTAGGGTAATGAAAGTCTGGGTTTCCCTATTTATTATTTATTGCTATGAGAAGGGATTTATGATTAATGTAGGAAAATAGGAATGAGTACGGAAGAAAATTAGGGCAAAATATGGAGGCAGTGAACAGATAATGGCGGCTTTGTCCTCACCAAATAAGTTGTCCTTCTTGTTGAGTCCACCAAATAAGGGAATTCCATGAGGCGCACTGGGCACACCATGTGTCTTATATTCTTGGTTAAGAAACAATTACTAGCGTGTTGCTACTGCATAAGGGGGTTGTGGCACTAACTGATTTACTTACCTCAACTGGCCTGATCTAAAGCTTCAATGCCTCAGCAAACCCAAATTCCGATTCGGGATCAAGTCACTACTCCTCATGGTCATAACAAGATCGCAACAGTTGTGACGCTGTGCATACAACATCACAACGCTTGATCCAGGTTATAGTAGAGTAGGTTACCCAATGATTAAATGGCTTTGCGGCATTCCATGGTCAACGTCCCTATTTTTATTCTAGATTAACATCTACCATATTTCTGTAGGCCAAATCGTGCATATGTCGTGACGGGGTTTAGGTTTTGGGGCAGCAGTCATCTCGCAAGAGTCTCACACTACCGTCCAAAGCACTCTAAACCATGATACAGGAAGTATACCGCAATCTAGGGATTAGACTGTGGTCAAGTGTAGTCTTTGACCATAATGCAACCTCAAATTTTTTCTTTAGACTCCCTTGTAGCTAGGAATATGGCTCACTTTACATATTTCACGAAATAATTTCACTGGTAAGACTTGAGCAATCTTAAATGAGACCTAATCATTTTCATTTTTCTTTCATTCTGATAGTTCAAAGGACCCGATTCCGAGGCTCTAATAGAGAGTTGCACAAGGTCCCCTTATTTTAGACCTTGTTGGGGGGTGTAAGGGTTAATAGGTCTTGTAAAACTGATTAACTGTTTTAACTAATTTTTAATTTAAAACAGATAGTAAAAACCATATCAATCCTCAACAGTAGACACCATATCAATCCTCAACAATTTATAGCAATAAACAGTAGACACCATTTTTTGAGGTGGAAAACCTTTGAAAGGGAAAAACCACGGGACCTAGTCTTGTCAAACCAAATTCACTGTCTGGAAAGAAGGTTTAAAACCTTGGTTAACAGACTCTACCCCAAGATCCCTAGTTCCCTCTTTAACACAGAAGACTCAAAACTTTCCCAGAAAAGTCTTCAGTTGGCTCTTCCCATCGTAAACAGCGTCCATTCCTCATGAACATGCTTCTCTAGTGAATTCAGCCCCAGCCACTAGTCATTCAGGCGTCAATTGGATTTTTGATTGTACTAGAGTGTTGAACAGATCTTGAAGTTATGCGTCAACGTATGTCCCCACATATGAACACACAGACTAATGCAGAGACAGAGCAGGTTTTTGTAGACTTTAAAAGCAAGTTCGAAACTACAGTTTTGAACTGCTATCGAATTTGATGTTGATTGATCGACATCACTCCAGAAGGATTTGATTGATACCTCGATCTATTCAAAACTTCTGCAGGTTTGTACTTGGAAAATTTTCGATATAGAAGTTTCCAAAAACTATTTTCGTGGCAGTTTAAAGCAAGTTAGGAAATCAAATCAAATTAAAATCATGTAAACATTGAAAACCTATATATGCAATGCATGAATCCTACTAATTTGGTGAGTGCATTAGTGTGTCAATTTACCTTCATACCCTTGTGGAGGAAGATTACCAAAATATCCTTGAATGTAGCATAAATTCCATCTTTCGACCTTGGGAGGTAACTAACACCAACTCCCTTCTGATCAATTTCTAAATTAAGCTAGAAATTAAGACAAAAGTACTGTCTCAGTTTTTTTTTTTTTCCTAGATGTTGTTGATTTTATTCAAATGATAAGGCAATGAAGTACATGATCAACAATTCCTATTGACTTGCGACATTCCATATTATGCCACCATTTTCACTTGAAGCTAGACCCCTCTCAGACTCCATGCATTTGCCTACCGGCTGAGGGCGTAACATAATTTCGTCAATTGTTTGGAAAAAGTATACCATTATAACTAGTCTCATAACTGATTATTGTTTGGATTACTAAAACAATTTATTATATCTAAGGGAACTCTCCCAAAGCTTCTTGAACACTTGCATGTGTGTGAACTTCAAAATGTGTACCAAACACTGCACAAGTTGATGTTTTTGAAGTTTGAATAAACAAATTGTGGGATATTTTGTTTATGTTCTTTAAGCTGTAAAATTGCATTTAATTTATTATCCCTCAGGTGCAGCAAAAAAAGTAGCTTGGGATAGTGTAGTGTCAGCAATATAACAGGCTGCTCCAGAGTTCCAGCAATGAAGAAAATAGGTCCCCAAGAACAGTTGAAATCAGGAAGTGGATACTTTTATAAAGTCCTTCCAATTTAATGACTGGCATTAGCCCTAGATTTGAAGAGTCTCAGTCTTGAAAAAGACCGTCTCTTTTGCTCTCGATCTTAAGTTAGATATCAAGCAATTTGTTTTCCTCTGGCTTTTAGTTTGATATCTTGGGGGAGTATTGGCAAACCAATTGTAATGCATAACAACTATTCTTCTGTGTTTCAGGTAGAGATCTACCCGCTGAAGATACATTTGACTGAGACAATGTATAGAATGATGTGGGAGTATTTCTTCCCAGAAGAAGAACAAGACTCCCAGCGACGGCAGGTTAGTTGAAAGATTTGGTGCTTCAACTTGTACAAACTTTTGCTGTAGAAGCTAATGAGAGTGCAATTCACATGGTGATATCTAGGAAGTTTGGAAGGTTTCAACTACTGCTGGCTTAAGGCGTGTAAAGAAAGGTTCATCAATGCATGATGCTTCTGCCTCTAGCAGTCACTCAACGAAAGAGCTTGAGGTTTCCTCCAAGTCAAACACCTCTGGTACCAGTCAGTCCTCTGTTCATGCTGATCCCAATCATGTGAGCCGCTGAAACCCTTTCCACATATAATGATTCTGAATGAACTGCTTTGTTCATCCCAATGTAGTAAGGAAGAAAAGTATGCCGGGCATTTTTTTAAGTATTAAATGTCTGTTCTAGGCCTCTGTATAGGCATGAGCCTGCAGATCTTTAGAGATTTCATTTAGAAGGGGAAAATTCTAATAAAAAATTTAACTATTTTGACAGTAATCATATATTTTAACAGGTTACCGTGTCTGTGCAGGCATCAAAGTTGCAGAACTTAAAAGAAAATATTGTTCGTGGTTCAACCCCCGAGCTAAGACGAACATCTTCTTTTGACAGAACGTGGGAAGAAAATGTGGCAGAGTCTGTGGCTAATGAACTTGTATTGCAGGTTCACACTTCAAGCATCTCTTCATCAAAAAGTGAGCCCCTTGGTTCTACCGAGCTGCAAGATGAACCTACTAGAAACAAACCAAAAGACTCCAAATCTGTCAAGTCTGGTCGTTCCTCTCATGAGGAAAAAAAGGTTGGAAAGGTACAAGATGAGAAAAGAACTAGGCCTCGAAGAATGAGAGAGTTTCATAATATCAAGATAAGTCAGGTTGGTTCAGTTTGAAAAAATTATATTCCATTGTTGCCTATTGTTTTCATGTTGCTTTCTAAATTGATATTGTTCAATATTAAAATGGGGCAGGTTGAGCTACTAGTTACTTATGAAGGATCAAGGTTTGCTGTGAGTGATCTGAGGCTGCTAATGGATACATTTCACCGTGTTGACTTCACTGGAACTTGGAGAAGACTTTTCTCACGAGTTAAGAAGCATATTATTTGGGGAGTCCTCAAGTCTGTTACAGGAATGCAGGCAAGTAATCTGCATCAAAATTTGTTTCCTTTTCAATGGATGACTAATTTATCTACCACTACTACATGTTTGAGTTTCCTACAACCTGGGCTCTCTCGATTTAGCAGCACAATTTCAACCCTTTTTTTTTCCAACTGCTGTAGGAATAAAATACCTAGGAAGCTTCCGACTGATTGGTTTACCATACAAAGACTACAAAACCTCTATTTTGTCCTCACCCTATGTCACACTGATATATTGAATCTATTTCATTTGCAAATGATTTTGCAAGGATGAATATTCACTATCAACAGAGAAATGATGTTTAGTCCTCATGGATTAGATTAATCCTAAATTAGAGCATTTAGATGCAAAATATATTGGTTTAGAGTAAATTGTTATCATTGATGTTATTCTCGTTCTTATTGTTATTCATCCTCTAATGCTTCATCATTTTTATTTAATTAGCAAGTGAATTTGCAAGCATGAATGTTCGTCCTCTAAAATAGAAAAATAAAAAAAAGTAAATGCATAAGGATTCTGGATTGTTTAGATACATCTGGCTGCTTGGCAAGTACTACACTCGCATATTGCTTTAATATAAATGCAGGGTAAGAAGTTCAAGGATAAAGCACATACTCAAAGGGATCCTATTGGAGCTGCTCTTCCCAGCAGCGATCTTAATTTTAGTGATAGTGATGGAGGTTCGGCTGGGAAATCTGATCAGTACCCACTATCTTGGCCCAAGCGTCCCAGTGATGGAGCAGGTGATGGATTTGTCACCTCAATAAAGGGGCTTTTCAATTCTCAACGACGCAAGGCCAAGGCATTTGTTCTTCGAACGATGAGGGGTGAAGCAGAGGATGAGTTCGCTGGCGAGTGGAGTGAAAGTGACGTGGAGTTTTCTCCCTTTGCTAGGCAGCTGACCATAACAAAAGCTAAGAGGCTCATCAGACGGCACACTAAGAAGTTCCGCCCAAGAGGGCAGAAAGGTTTGTATAGCTTAAATCCAATTTAGGCATTTGATTCCTAGTCATTGAATGTGCTGAAAGGAATTGTCTTTCAATTTTTATTTATATATATATATATATATATATATATATATATATATATCTAAAACCATAATCGTTGTCCACCACATTTGGCAACATTGGAACAAGTTCAAATCCTTCTGGTACCATTTCCTAGTAATAATTAGAATGCAAAAGGAGTGCTAGTTGATATATATTGTGGGATGTCATTTATACTTGTACTGTTAACCTCCCTTTTGGGTGTATTAGTTATTTTCACCTTAATGTGCCCTATTCTTATTGTGCCTCCATATAGAATTGGTTTCTTCCAAAATTTGTGGAGGGTTCGAACTTGATAGACTTTCTGACTTTGAGACTCATGGTTACTCCTCCAGGTATGTCTTCCCAACGAGGATCACTTCCATCATCACCAAGGGACACCACACCATTTGAAAGTGATTCCGGTGGATCCTCACCATACGAGGATTTCCACGAGTAGAAGAGTCTGGAGCATGGTATTCTTCATAAGCCTTGGGTGGCACGGCACGGGGTTGCTGTTTGTGTATAACAGTCCACATTGAGCTGGGAGTCTGGGAAAATAGATGGATCAATTGTTATTGATTTGATCCAGCGACTACCTTGGATGACCTGAATTATCTTCAAATAAAAGCATGCTGAGGAACTCCATGCATGTAAATAGTGAAATTATTCTTCATGACGACCCCATGGACATTGTAGATTGATGACCTCTCCCAATTTTCCCTGTAAGAGTTGTATCATTAGCGCGACGAAATGTTACTAATATTATGATTCAATGTTATGTTAATTTGTATCAACACTGCCTCTGGCCAGTCAGAATGAACATATGAGCTCTCAAGAGTTCGATAATTTTTGTACGCACTTATATATTGAGAATAAAATAATAAATGAAATTCTCCTCTCCCCTCTGCCTCTGCGTGTGTGGAATACCTTCTGGCGCTAGACAAACTTTGTTTTGTATGTGGTCTTCTCCAGACTTTGTATCTTTTTGGGAATCTCTAATAGCTCTGTGTGTGTGTGTGGAATACCTTCTGGTGCTAGTCAAACTTTGTTTTGAATGTGGCCTTCTGCAGACTTTGTATCTTTTTGGGAATCTCTAATAGCTGCGTGTGCGTGGGGGATAGCTTCTGGTGCTAGTCAAACTTTGTTTTGTATGTGGTCTTCTCCAGAGGCCTTCTCCAGACTATGTATCTTTTTGGGAATCTCTAATAGCTGCGTGTGTGGAATACCTGCTGGGGCTAGACAAACTTTGTTTTGTATGCGGTCTTCTCCCAACTTTGTATTCTTCTTTTAGAATCTCTTCTCAAATAGTGGCAGCAACTCGGCTACTCTGTGACAATTACTCGTACACAAAATATTGGTACCACATGGTCAACACGCTGTGAATTAGGTACTTCTGTTTATATTAATGATGAGGGTTTAAAAATCATTTGAGGCCCACAGTTTATGCTGCTTGCCAGACCTTAAGTCTACCCATATAGATAAACGCAGAGCAGTTGGCAGAATCCTCCCTCAAAAAACCCTCCAATGATCGTTCGATGTAATGGCGCACGCAGTCACTACTATTGCACATTGAAATTAAAACAAGGCAGATTTCAAATAATTTCAATAAGAATAAACCTTGGCAAATGACCACATGTATAGACTAGTTTAGACACTCGATATTATCTGCAACAACTCATACAACAAACAGGATCCTAGTGCTAATATCAACATTAACCACCCCAACATGTTCTTCGGTTGTGACCCTCGGAGTGACTCCCCCGGAGTTGGATATATAACTGCAATCAGCATTCAATGTCATGGCCGACGGACGATTCACAGCTCAGTGGTCACTCTTCTTTACGAGGGAAATCAATAATTTGTCCTGTAAAGAGAGTATGAAAACATTAGAGACGCTAGGGTGTTTTTTTTCATGGTATTGTTGGAGCTAGAAATCTCACTTACTAATCAAAGTTAGCAGGAATGTCCATCTCTGATTCTGAGGCCTCTGCAAGCTCAACCAGAGTTTCCTGCAGATCCCAAAATTAGTAGATTATAAAGCCTCGTTACTACCTATGCTCCCCTTTGAATTATTGGTAATAAAACTTATTTCTCGGTTTTAACTTACTCGGCTGCATTCTGGAAACCAATAATCAAATCATCTAGAAATACCTGCTCATCAAGGTTGTCTGAAGAACCCATCATTCCCACCGGCAAACTGTTTGCTAGTTCTCCGGCAGTTCCACACAAGTCCTGCATCATAGGGAGGAGTTTTTAACCACAAAAACTCGAGATCACTGTTGAGACAATTCAACAATTTTTGTACAACTTGACATTAATGATGATTATGTAACAATTGAAACAACATTAATGATGATTTCTTGATATAAAAACTATATGAATTCTTCTAAACTTGAAAGTCAGGCACAAAATTGGCTTTTTCTTATAACGTACATTATAGCTAATGAGGTGGTGGCGAAAAGTTAATTGTGAGATTTGACAACACCAGTCTGTTCCCGTAGAACTTTCATATAATAAAACTACATCATAACATCTCCAATGTTAGGCTTGGGATGTACAGTCCTGATTAGTGAGCTGGAGATAAGATGCAAACATGAGGATAAACATGCTAAATGTGAGAAGTAAATTTATTTGTATTTTTGTTGTCCGACTATTATGCTGTATTAATACGGTAAACAAAGTGCTTGCAGAATGTATTATGGACTACATACAATGAATAGGCTAAAAACTTATCAGAGAGGTTATACCAATTGATTTATATCTGCAGATGGTGCTTTGAGAGCAGATCCAACACTGAACTGCAGATGGAAGTTATACCATACAGTTTCTTCTAATTTAATTTTTTATTTTTTCTATATATATATATATTCCAGGAACGCTAGTCTACTATATGCATCTAACAAAAGGTTTTTTTTTTTTTTTTTGATGTAAGAGTTAATCTTATATTTTGGCAGTTACTTTAAAGATGCTAGACTTCATTTAATATTTTGAGGTGTGGAATGTCCAAAGGGTGTCGACAGATGAACCAAGAGATTAGGGAGGCCATAAAGATACATGATATTCCATAGAAAAATTGCTCAAGACATGTCCAGTGGGTGTCTTATAGATACCCTAAAGAGGATAAGGATTAACATAAATTGTCTACAAGAAACCAAATCAGAAGGTGAAAAGGCTAGAGAGATCAGAGAGGATATAAACTCTTTTATGTGGATGGCAAGGATAACCATAGGAACAGAGTAGGCATGGTAGTAGACCAATATATGAGAGAAGATTGTAAAAGCTTGAAGAAAAGGAGATAAATTAATGACTATTAACTTATAACAGATACAGGTGTACTGGTTATAATAAGCGCATATGCTCCACGGGGCATTTGATGAGAACATGAAAAAGGCATTTTGGGAGTCACTAAATGAAATAGTGCAAAATATACCGAGTCCTGAAAGTCTATTCATAGGATGCCACTTTAATGGGCATGTAGGGATCCTGTGTTCATGGAGAATATGGATTCGTAGAGAGAAATGAGACAAGTGACACTCTTAAAATTTGCAAAAGCATATAACTTGTCTAGAGCAAATACAGTTTTTTATAGAGAGAGAGAATAAGTGAATTTAATTACATGTAAGAGTGGCATGAATCAAAAACACCAATGGATTGTTGTCCATATAGAAGAAAAGAGTGGACATCGTGAAAGGAAAGGCAAGGTATGGTCATTCCAAGAAAAAGTCTCACTAACCAATACCAATTGCTAATACTGCACTTTGTTGTATCGACAGGAGGCAGTTGGCAGAAATAGTGATGATATGACATGGATTTCCTCTTCCCATGGTCGCTTTGAAGTTCGTTCCTTATTCTTATGTCTTTCTGATTTCGATATTGTTGATTTCCCATGGAAGACTATTTGGCGTTCTATGGCTCCAACTAGAGTGACATTCTTTGTTTGGACCGCTGTTTGGGGTAAGATCCTGACGATTGATAATCTAAGGAAAAGGGGCAATTGTCTTGTTAACTGGTGTTGCTTGTGCAAACAAGATGGTGATTCAGTTGCTCACATTCTCGTGCATTGTCCTTTGGCGAGGGATTGTTGGAATCTTATCTTTTGCCTATTTGGTATGCGTTGGGTTATGCCTCGTTATCCTAAGGATTTGATTTGTACATGTTGTTCGCGATTACTGGAGAGTTGTACCACATTATTTTTGGTGGTGCATTTGGAAGGAGAGGAATAGTAAAATGTTCGAAGGGAAAGAATCGTTTACGGCGATTCTGAAACTTCACATCATACACTCTCTTTTCAGTTATGTGAAGAGGAAGTCCTGTTCTTCTTCTGAAGATTTAATTATTTTTTTGGCTTCTTTGGAATCTTAATCCCTAGTTCCACGTTTGTATAAGGGATGCGTTCCCCTCTTGAACGCCTTTTTTATTTCAATTATTACTTATCAAAAAAGGAAAAATACTGCACTTGGTACTTGGAAGGTTTAAATATCAAAAGTGGAAAGAATTGAAATGTAAAAAAAATAAAAATAAAACATTTAGAGATAAAACATTGCAAGAAATAAAATGGAATTGGAATGACAATGCAAATAAGTTATGGTCGAACACGGTGGACATATTAGGAATATGTCAAAAAAGACTGGAAGAAACCAAAGGTAAGAAATTTATTAAAAAAGAAGCGTGGTGGTGAAATAATGAAATTCAAAAAGTAATACAGTACAAAATAAGAGGAGTTCTAAAGAATGGAAAAATAGTAAGAACCAAGAAGAACCTGAGAAATACAATAAATTAAAATTCGAAGCTAAGGAGATGGTAGCTAAAATCAAACAAAACTTCTTAGAAGATTTATATGAAAAAATTACGCACATAAAAGGTGAAAAATCTATTTACAAATTGGCAAAAGTTAGACATAGGTTAGAGATATGGATCAAGCTATATGTATTAAGGGCAAAGACAAAAATATATATGTATATATATATATAATAAATAAATAGTTGAAGTGTGTGACATATTGGATGGGTGATAAAATCACCTTCAGCAATTCTTGAGCCATGAATATCCTAGGGAGGACATTGAAAATAACGAGCCTAGTCTTGGAATGATATAAAAGATTAGCCAAGATAGCTTCCCTATAAAAGTGTGGAGAACCTTAGAAAAAGTAGGAGTTGAATGACTAACAAATTTATTTAACAAGATCTAATAGAAAGGCACGATGCCCAGTGTATTGAGTAAATGTATGATAGTACCAATTTACAAAAGAAAAAAGGAGATGTACAATAAGTTAATGAGTCATACTATGAAACTATGGGAAAGAATAATAGTATCAAAGGCTAGCTTAACTAATAATCAAGTCTTGCAGAACCCAGTTAAGATTAAGTGGCACAAACCACAACATAAAATTTATTTGAATCATAATTTCAACAATGTTAAAGATTTTTCAATAACCTGAGAAAAATTAACAGAGAACATTATCTAGTGCATGCTTATGTAATGCCGATATTGGAATTGGGAACATACTTCCTCATCTGTGTTGACAGAGGGATTAACAGTTCCTTCAGCTAGAACCTTCGGATCTTCAGGAGTTCCCTGCATACCCCATAAATTGGATCAGAAGATTCAATCAAGCTTATCCATTCACTGGAAATATCCTAATACTCAGTCAAAAGAATCATACAGGATAATCCTGATTGCCAGCGAAATTTTCTCCTTCCATGACCATAGGCTTAATATCAATCGGTGTTTCCTGCACGCCCAATAAAAATTATATGGTAAATCAAATAATAATAATAACTAAAATAATGATAGTATTTTTATTACTCAATACATTTGAATGGAAAATTGATACTTAGCTCTAGATCCAGCTAGTTATCAAAGAAAAAGGCATTAACAAGATTAGTCAGAAAGTAATACGCTTCCAAAACAAGGTGTTCCAGCTTTTCTCATAAACATACCGGTTCAATTTGGTCCAAAGAAAGATTCCTCCCTCCCTTACTGAGGTCTCTCAGTGTTCCCTGGAAATTCAATAAAAATGACAAAGTAAAATGACAAACGGCCTCACCAAAAAATAATAAGGTTGCCATGATTTGCAACAATAGAAACTTAACAACAATAATAGAGCAGAATAAATACAACATTAGAGCAAAATAAAGCATAATCAAAATTCTTGGTGTACTAGATTATCTCACCCACCTTACTTCAAGTGCTATGTGTCAATAGCATTTCTAAAATAAATGGAGAAATGGGTTTTAAAGGTATATTGGTAAAAGGTTAAAGGTATTCTGAAGAAAGCCAGATGTCATCGGCAGTACAAACTCAAAATTCAGCCAGTTCCAACAGCTAGGATGGAACATCCTCAAAATTCATCAAGATGACAAAGTAAAATGACAAACGGCAACACCAGAAAATAATAAGGTTTCCATGATTGGTTAAAAGGTTAAAGGTATTCTGAAGAAAGCCAGATGTCATCAGCAGTACAAACTCAAAATTCAGCCGGTTCCAACAGCTAGGATGGAACCTCCTCAAAATTCATCAAGACAATCAGAGATCTTGATCTGAAAAGGTCAATGGTACGGATCCTCCTTGGTATTTCGTGCCACCAATTTATAAAAACATGTTTATTGTAATAAAATGGAAGCTTCTATAAAAAAATTCATAGCTACTGCTTAAGAAGAGAATGGAGCAACTGCAAGGAACACTTTTATGTCAGCTAGTTCCAGTTATGAATGTGCTCTGAATTCTCATTATGATCATGCAACAAGTTATTAGTTTTAAGGAATCAATACCTCTGAGGAAGAAACAAAATTCTTATTGAGGAGAAGGAAGCATAACTCGCTAAAAAGATAAAGAATCATAAAAAAGGAGGAACTATAGGAGAAATTTCACACACATTAACAAAGAACCTTAATTGAATATCAAGGCCAAATAAATTCAAAAGCGGGTAATAATTTCCTCAGTCTCCCAACTTAAAATATCATTTGTCTCTTTAACCAAAGAGAAGCACTTCTAAGCTGGCCTGATGATGCATCTTGGATAAGCTGCTAATTTGTTGCATGATCATAATGATAACAATAAAGAGGGAGCAACTGTAGGGAGGAGGGGGAGAGAGAGAGAGAATAATCATCCTTAACCAGCCAGAGTTAAGAGTTTTAGACTTTTAGCTACCCTAAAAACCACAGCTTCCCTAGCCTGAACAACGAGGTCAATAAAACAGACTTAACAGTAACAAGAAATACATCCAAACATTCTGTTTCAAATCACATAAAATTCAACTAGATTCATGAACCCATACACATGTAAGGTCCACTGCGCAATGGATTCGGGTTACTACTAAAACCAAGTGTTAATAATTCCAGAAAATAAGCAGTATCAAGTAACCAAGATTACACAAACCTTATTTATCACCAAAAAAGAAAAAAAGGAAGAAAGAATGAAAGACTACACAAACCTTGTTTGCCCACATAAGCCCACAAGCATTGCAGAGTGTCCTTGGTCCAGCCGGTCCACGACGCATTGCAGGAGTAGAATTTTCACTAACACCACAATGATGACATCTTCGAACACTGAAAAATATTGCAGAACCAAACAGCATGGATAAAAGTAAGTAAAATGTTCCATTGAACGTGGGATTAAGACAAAAAAATATATCTTTCCAAAACCCTGAAAGCAGCAACCTCAAAATCAAGATTGAACTCACACAATTTCTTGACAAGGTGTGCCATCTCCTTGAAGGCAACTCTTTGCAGAATCCCAACCAGAAGACCCCGAACCTCCTTTCAATGATGCAAACTGACCATTCTTACGGTGCATCCTAGTAGAATAATGCATACACCGAGGAAAATAATAGCTCAGAAACACCAACACAACCTCTACCGAAATTACCTTTTATCTCAGAGGTTCAAATAAATTCTACAAGAATGACTATAGTCTTTAACTGAGGGCTCATGATGCTTTTTCTTTTTCTTCATTGATGATACCTCTACTTACAGTGTTCTGCTTAAATGTTGGCATTTCACATTGAATAGCATGTCCATATTCTGTTACTTTCAGTTGTTTTGACCAAAATGCCCATCTCAATATGTAGACCATTCTTCATGACCACAAAAAAAATACCTATTGATAGAAGAACTTTATAATGATGAAAAAAAATGATTAATTAAGTTGTTGCGGACTTCGTGTGACTGGAAAAAGGCACTGAAGCTAAAAAAATACAAACACCTGAAACATAATTTCAATAGTGTAGTGTATTTCCGAAGTATCACAATAAAGGAAGCTGCTCTACCCCTAAACTAAATTTGGTACTATCAGAAAACAAGAAATAAGTGAAAAAAAACAAGAGATGTATGCAGAAAATAAATAATAGATATAAATGCAACATACCCAGAAAAGAAAAAAGAAAGAAAGATGTATATTTTTTAATTGACAACTTAATAATCAAACCTCTATCCTAGCCCCTCCCATTTGAATGCCATTCGAGCACTAAACATATGTGTGACACACACACACACACAACTTTTGCAAGAGAACCAATAGCTAGCACCCCCTTCAAATACTGACTACTACAAGGATGGCTTAGTAATCAAATTTTGCACCATCTTTTCTGGCTCAAAGTAAATTATAGCCCTTCCCAGAATAGGTACAAAGACCAGACCTGAGGCCCATATGGAAGTGGTGCCAGTTCAAGAATAAATTTGACAACTTTTACACTGGTGTTCGCACATTAATTAAAGCAATATCTTTAAACAAACAATTCTACCCTTAAAAGATTTAAATACGTACATACTAACTTAAACCGACTGTATGTTCCACTTCTTAACAATGTGAGTCGACAAAAATAGCCAACTTAATTGCCTGACCAATGAACTTCTAAATACTCACTTGGAAGTTGGAATTGAAAAGGATAAAACATTCTGGACTTGCTTATATGATAGAAAAGACCTTATTCGTCCTACAGATCTAATGTGCATTCTTCCAGAGATGTCCAACATAAAATGCTCAAATAATATACTAGACAAATTCATAGAGCCAGATTACAAAAGCATTAATTGCAGACTACAACATATGCTGTAGATTAATCGTACCTTTGAGCAACCTCTTTTCGCACGGTGTACCTAATTTTCTTGTCAAAGCATCTCTCCTTGCGTTTTTGACGGAACCTTACCAGGGAAGCAATTCTTCGTGAAAGATTTGAGCGCTTTGGGGTATCATCCACACCCTACGGGAAGTATTTCAGATAATGTATGAACACAAATACAGAAATGCAAATTAATTGCTATAATATTTTTAACTTCAGAATTACCCTGTTATTAGGCTCAAAAGGAACATCATGGGTAGGCACGCCAGTAGGAATTTCACACCCTCCCAGGAGCAAGAGCACTGCCTGTACCTGTTGAGTACAGTTCCAACAATCCATGCATCGCGTCAAAATAAACTTACTCCAAACCAGATGCAATTGATAAGAGTAGCGAAGTGGTGACCAATAAGATAAAAGTTGAGAAGACACATACTGAGATCAAAAACAAAAAAAAATAATAATAATAATAATCAAATATTGTATCCTTTCAATCTTGACACCAAAGCATAGTGAAATTGAAGTACATAGAGGATGATTCAGATACCTTGAAGCAAAATGACAACATGTTTTACTTCAATTGTATTTTAAAAATTCTACCCCAAAGTGAAGTTAAATATATCACTCTCATCTAGGTAGAAGGGTTGAGGATTACCGTATAGGTAGGAGGGTCAAATGAAAATGGAAAGAAGGGCTTGGAATGAACATTTTATATTAACAGTTCCAAGCAGTTAGCGAAGAATACCCACATCCTTAGGTAATAACGTTCATAAATTGCTGTATAGACATGATGTTTGATAAAGATATTGTGTGTACTGTTTCTTCTGCAGATGAATAATCTGAAGTCTAGTATGAGGGGAGAAATCTCATTTGAACAGTAAAATAACTATTTCAATATTTTTCTTCAATTTTCTTTGAAAGATAAAAGGGTAAAATTCACAAGGACATAAGTGTTCTTGTACAACGCCTGCAACACTCCATGCTTTAAACTTTAAAGGTAAATGAAGTTTAGCATTCTAAAACCAAGAAGAGGTGGCAAAAAGCAGTTCATTAAGTAGTCAAAGTTACTAGCGTGAATGATATCTTGAGCAATTCATATAAGATCATCTGACCAGGCTGCTGCCTGCTTGGCGAGAGATGAGTAGCATAAGATTTCCACGTCATTAGATTGATATCATGAATCATCATTTAGATTAAAGGTGGAGGAATGGGAAAAAATAAGTAATAGACATATTTAGCAAATTGCAGCCTAAAATTCTGTTTAAGATAATAATTAGAGACGGTAACCACACTGTCAAAGAAGAAGTCACTTCATTAATAGGAAAATAAGTTGCCAAACTAAGTAATAGTTTGCTTCAACCCGCTTTCTTTATATTAAAAGGTTTGAAAAAGCAACAACTTTATTCTTAATGGTCTCCTAAACTATAAAACCACTGAGTTGACAGTAGAATCCAGATACAGCAGAGAGTAAAATCATAGATTTGTTATATAAAACCATATATAGTACCAAATGATGTTTAAAGAAACATAAGAATAAACCCAGTATCATCCGCCTTCACATAAATACTAAAAAAAAAGACCTGATAAGAGACGTCAAAGTAAATTGATAACAAAACCACCATAAACACAAGCTTATGAAATTGTAACCCGAATAAACTACCAAAAAACAGTACCAAACCGTCAAAAACAGAGTAAATTATAACAAACCCATAACAATTCATTAACTTCATGATAGAGAACTGAACTCTTTCATCAAACAAAAGCTCCATAAAATTGACTTCTCCGATACTGATACAATTTTATCAAACTACTGAACCGCAAGACAATCAAAACGGAGTAAAACCGCACCTTCTCGGGCGTAACAGCAGGGAACACATAAACCTCTCCTTCGAAAGCAAGAGTGAGCTCACTGGTTCGAGACGCCAACACAACACCTCCTCCGTGGTCCGAAGCGTTAACCGAACTCATATGACCATCATCACCAGCGTCCATAGCATCATCACCACCGCCATCTTCGTACTCGTCGTCGTCATCGCCGTCGATGATCTGTATCGCCACGCGCTCCTCGTACGGACGAGCCTGAAGTGGCTGTGGATTCGCCGCCATCATCGTCGTCAGTCCAAAAACATCAAAACCGAAAACTCCAATTACCGAAACCCTAATTCTCCTAACCCCAAGTCCGACACCACCTGTTCCATTGAAGCCACAGAATTAAACTCTCTAATCGAAGACCCTAACCCTAGATTGAATTGAACTAAATCGAATTGAATTGAATTAAATTGAAGTTCGCGAATTCCAGAACGAAGAGAGAGATAGTAGAGAGAGAAAGTGACGATGAAGTGAGAGAAGGAGAGAGAAAAAATAATCTAAAATGGCAAAGATTTGCAGGGTGTGCTCCGTTTTTCCTTGAAGAGACTCGATTAAGCAATTTTTTAATTTTTTAAAAAAAAATTTCATATTTTTTCCTTTTGTCTATCTTTTTATAAATCAAAATGTGTCGACGTGTCATGGAATTTTTTCTATTTATAGTATGGAATAAGAAAAAGGGGTATGATTCGGAGGAACGTCGGTGTGTTTAGACACGGTGCAGTGTACGAATCAGGACCGTCGGCTTCCGACGATTTGATGTGGGACCCAGAATGGGTTGATGGTTCACGTGAAAAGAGTGGGATGGGTGGCTGATGGATAATGAAAGAGACTCTATGTGGGACCCACATAAACAATGAGTGGGTTAGGAAATCATCTATTCAAGATTAAGTATAATTAAGATTTTAGAAGTGGTGCGGAGATATTGTGTGATTAAGACTATAATGGGATTGTGGTATGCAGTGAAAGTGTGACACTTGTGTTGCATTTTAGGACAAGTTTAGCAATGAAATTAATGACGTATGATTTCAATCTTTGTGTTTCTTCTTTTGGTGGATTTTAATAGGTGACGACAATAGTGTTATAAGAAATTTCATAAATATTATAAACACTTAAAAATAATACATCTAATTTTATTAGGGAGTAATACAACAATTAAATTTACAAAACATTAATAAAAGAATAATACATCATAAATAAAAGTTAAAACATGAATTTGCAATATCAATATAAAAAATACAACATTTGTAATTTAAAACAATATCAATCATATAGAATTGAACAAGACATGAATATAATAATGAGATGTAAAATTTAACTAATATAAATAACCTCAAGAACATAAATTAAAGAAAATAATAATAATATTAAAATAAGTAAGAAAGTGTCATCCTGATAAAGGATGCATCTCTAAGATACAACTCAATCAATTCTTAGCGGCGTCTCATCCATGTGCATGACTACAGAAAGACTAGGTCCAAATTCATATATATCTTGTTGTCCACTAATTCAATATGTAAAAATACTCTTATATATTCTCTAAGAAGATAGTGCAACTCCAAAATTACAATACCCCAAATGAGAGATAGTGGATAATTTATATATATAGTATGATACGTAACGGCTAAGGTATAATAATGATTAAAATTATAATTGAAATAATATCCACCATAAATATAATTTAATTTATATAATAATATTCATTATTATAAATATAATAAATAATTATATTAAATATTATTTATGTTTTAATTAAATAATTAAAAAAAAACCTACAATCATATAAAAAGTCAAAATTATTAAATTACAAACATAAAAAGATAAAAAGAGTTTATTTATACATGAAATTTTTCTATTTTGTTAAATTTAATTATTTTTCTAAGATAAAAAAACAAATTTACATATACACGAAATTTGTTTTTTTTTTAATTTTTTTTTTCTTCTTAATATTACACGAGTTACTACACTTGTATAAATAAGTAGTCTACTAAACTTTTTAAGTGGTCCACATGCTATGGTTTTTCAAAGTAGAGATTACATTCAAGGTTTGTGTGTGAATAAAATGAGTAAAAATCAATTCTTTATACATAATAATAATATATTGTATTAATATTTTATTTTCGTGTTCCTTTCATATTCGTATAATATATATATTTTTTAAAATTAGTTGCATGTAGGTATCATGTCACGCCTGTATTTGTATATATATCCGTCATACAGTGGTTGTTATATTAAAAGCTTGTTTGAATTGGCTTTTCAAACCCCTCTTTGACTTATTAAGCTTAAAAGCCGTTTTAAAGAGTGTTTGAATAATTTTTATAGAAGTGGTTTTCGATATTAGAAGACCATTTTGGAGAAGCTGGACCATCTTTTCCAAAACCATGTTCTTTAAAAACATAAGAAGTTGTTTTAGGGTTTAATAAAACTTTCAAAATGGTAAGTATACCCTTTTCTGAAAAAAATAATGTTGGATTGAATTTATATGCACATAATGCCCGACGTGGTAACACACTGGTTGTGAAGTGTGAAGTATTCAAAATTTTGACCGATTTAATCTGACTGTTTTTCTGAATCCATTTTTTATTTACGCCACAATCACATTAATGTTGCTAAGTAGCATGATAAATTAAACAACCATTTTTGCATGATGATATAAGTAACATGATAAATTAAACAATCAATTTTATATGAATAACCATTTTTGCATAATGTATGGATACATATACATATACATATAAACATATAGACATTCTTACAACAAAAAAAAAAATTATAATCTATATATGCTTTCTTTTTCTTTTTTTTAATTATGTTTGAGATATTGGAGAAAACTTAAATAATCCATGTATATTTTTTATATTATGATTTTTATATTGTGATTTAGTGCTTCGATGGCACTCGATTAAAAAATTTGCAGGCACATCCCGATAAGGAAAATTAGGAATTCATACTACTAAGATGGGAGTTAGATTATGTTCTTTATGAAAAAAAATTGCAAATTGTATATTTCCTCTCCAATACTACTGAAATGGATTCAACAGGATAGACTGAGAATACTACCGAGATGCTACTTACCAAAATAGGAAAAAACAAAACAAAAGAACAAAAATTCGGCAAACAACAAAAACTATTTTAAAATACAGTCTCAAATATTGAGACATAAGTCAAATAAAAATAATAGGGTTAATTTCACCTACACACCCTGAACTATGCTAATATTCCACACACACCCCCTCTACGTTTCATAATTTCACCTACACCCTGTCAGTAACGGCCGTCTAATTTACCAACGGGAATATGTAATTTTACTATTTTACCCTTTAATTATATATTAAAATTTATAACTGAAAAAGACTTTTACACCCTCTTAACACCATTTAATTTCTCTCTCTACCCTCACACACATATATATATATATACCCACACACTATATATATATATTTTTTTTTCTTTCTTTCTTCTTCATTATCGCCGGTGACAAAGCAACTACGCCACCGATGGAATACACAACAACCGATCTCGCCGTTTCTCCACCTCAACCTACCACCACCATGGCCGACCACCAACCACCATCCACAATCACCCTTTGCAAACAACACTACTAGCAGACCTAAGATCCAATTGCGAAAAAAAAAAACGTTGTAGTTGCAGGGTCTGTTTGGGAGGACAGAATGAAGATTGATGAAGTCGAAGGAGGTGTCTAAGTCTTCAACCCAAAATCTGAATCATGTGTTGTATTGGCAACAAGAAGATCGAACCCGATGGCGACGCGTGACTACCGTCACCGTTCAGCAATTTGAGTCATAACATTGCCAGAAAACTCCATCTCCATTGATCTCAAGGTTCATAAATGATCAGTTCACCGCCGACAATTCCTCCCCTGGAACTCACCTGATCTCACCGGAAACCCGACTCAATTCATTGTTATTTTTCTTTTTCGTTTCCAAATCAAATCAGAAAAAAAAAAAAATTAGAGAGAGATTTCCAAAAACAAAATTCCAAAAAAAATACAGAGAAGATTGTTATTTCCAAAAAAAAAAAACGTTATTTCCAAAAACAAAATTCCAACTAGAGAGATTTCCGAAAAAAAAATTCCAACTAGAGAGATTTCCAATTGAGAGAGGGTGGCTAGGATTCTACAACGAGAAGGGGATTTCAGTTCAGAAAGATGCAGAGAAGATTTTTTGGTGCATGGATTAATACTGTGGGCTCAATTCCGGCTACTTACAAAGTTAAAGCAATCGGTGAATGGTGTTCTGGGTTCGATAATATGAGTACACTGGATTAAACTTTTTGAGTTTATAAGTTAAGGGTAATTTTGTAAATTTGCATTGGTCAATGAGGTTAAAAATGTCATTTTTAAGTATTGAAAGGGCAAAATTAACCTTGTACAGAATTGTTCATGCTGACGCCGTTAGTTGCTTAACGGCAGGGGGTAGTTTGCTACATAAATCAAAACTTTAAGGGAGATAAGTGAAATTATGAAACGTAAAGGGGGTGCGTGTGGAATATTAGCATAGTTCAGGGGGTGTAGGTGGAATTAACCCAAAATAATATCTTCTACTTCTCTTTTTCTTTTAGGTAAAGACAAAAACAAAAGTTATGCGAAATGAACCATAATATTAGAACTAAAAATCAAACATCTTCTAATATTGTTTACAATGAGAATAAAGGATTTCATTTAAAAATCAAACATCTTCTAATATTGTTTAAGAATGAGAAAATAAAGGATTTCATCGTATATCTTTCTATATGGTTATCTTAGTTCAATTGAGTAAATTTTTTTTTTTTTTTTCAATTAATCATAGGCACAATATATTTGGAGATTAGACTCTAATGAGTTCCAAGAAATTGAGTACATAATGGTATTTTTGCAAACGACTAATGATATGAAATCTCGGAACTCGTGACTCTTTCATGTCGAAAAGGAATCTGTCAGTAATAATTTGTCCTATATCTATATCTATATATATATATTATTCTAAAAGTGTTTCGAATTTCGTAACATTTAAAAAAAAATTTTTTAATAAAAAGTCGCATTAATTCCTACCTCATTAAAACATACGAACCCATTAACAAAATATAGAATTGTAACATTTTAAAGGCACATAATAATTTAATACATTTTCTCTAATTCAATTCTACCTCATTATTAGACTATTATAAAAGTGTAAGGACTTTATTCTATTTTCAAACATTTTATATATATATTTTTCACTATTTTTACCAATTGTAATTTTTATTTATATTTATTAATATGTATAAATGAATTAACAAAATTTAGATTTGTAACATTTTAAAGCACATAATAATTTAATACATTTTCTCTAATTCAATTATAACTCATTATTAGACTATTATAAAAGTGCAAGGACTTTATTCTATTTTTAAATATTTTTTATATATTTTTTTCACTATTTTTACCAATTGCAATTTTTATTTTTATTTATTAATATGTATAAATGAACCAATTAAACTTCAATTCATTATCTTTTATGATCCAAAACTTTACATCTTTTTCTCTAAACTTTTCTCCCTCCCTCTACGTTTCATCCAAATTGAACAAAGAAAATATTTATTTTTCCAATT